TGCTGCGATTCAAAAAAGATTCCGAAATTGCAAGTTGTTCGGTGAATTTTGTGTATTTACAAGAAGGCGACCTGAATCTTTCCCTCGGTTCACATCACCGCGAACCATATGACACCGCTTCTTCCCTGGGGTAGCAGCTCTGGGGCAAGTAGCAGATTTTGAGCCGAGCGCCTGGGCCTCGGCTTCCAGGACCTCCGCCTCTGCAGAAGTGGCCACCTCCTCAGGGTGTTGACAGGGCCGCCGGGGCACCTGCTACAACATGTGTAATTGTCCATGATACGCCTGTGGAGGTGCCCAAAATAGATGCAATGATACACATGTTGAGAGTGCAGCCCCACCATGTTTCAAGCATGTCCAGCCCAGCTCATTAGTTGAGCATCAGAAAATGGCCCCTCTTCAAACAAATCCACAAGCCTCCTTTCCAACCTCCCCACCCCGTGCACAAAAAAAAAAACTCAATCCACAATCCTAGCATCTAACATGGAGCAAGCCCAAGCCTTGGCATAACGAACTAGACAATGCCCCCCCACAACGGCAACCAGGGTGATCACACGCCAAGCACCTGTTCGGGAACTTTCCGACATTTCTGGGAGACCCCATTCAACCTCCCTTGATCTCCACTATTTGGAGATCGGTTGAATGGAGTCTCCCAGTCTTCCCTCAAAAAGGCGAAGCTTGGCAAAATGGGTGGGGGAATCGTGGAGCCCATTCCCATTCCTCCCAAAATTCACCCTCTCCGTGTCCCACAATAGCCAACTATACATGTTTGTCTCGCGTCCTCTGCAGCCTCACTCTGGGCCAAGAAGGCGATGGCATCGAACTGGCTCGGAAGACGATCAGCCACTCTTGGGCCTCGGATCGTCAGCAACGAGGTCTAACACATCCCCAACTACTCCACCTGGCTCCAGTCTCCAACCATCAATGCTAAGCTGCCGGTTGAGGTGGAGACCATGGTTGGAGGTGCTGCAACACCTCCTGAGCACTGCATAGAAGAAAGGACATTAGGAGGTGTTGCTGTGCTTGATGGAGTCTAGATGAGTCTAGTCTAGATGAGGAACAATACGTGGAGGCTCTGCATTCATGTTGTCTGTCTTAAACAGATGGCTTGCGAATTTACCCGGCGTGCTTGGTGCTGCAAGCAGTGCAAATCAGCGCATGTCAGTGAGATGTCATGTGCGGTGTGCCTCCCCCCCGCACTACCGTGCACACAACTAGCATCAACTAGCCAATGTCCCAGAGTGACTTCCCAAGCGCCAAAAAAATCATTTTTGGAACGCACGCTTTCTCAGTCATGTCCATTCCTGTCGTTTAGTTGCTGTCATGTCCTTTCAGCTTTGCTCCTTGCAATTCCTTTCATGTGCTTCATTTCCCGCGTCCTTTTCCTCCTTCTCCTCCCTCCATGGAGGCGGGGGAAGTGCTTTGTTGGTGTCGTGGGAGGGGGATGAAGCCGGTGGAACAGGGAGGCTTCAAATAGTGAGCGAGCGCTCATGTGCGGCCTGCATGTTCACCAAAACAGTATCAAAATGTATACAGGGAAGCCGAAGTACTTGTCCATTAGCATTCGTTCAGTTTCATTCCCTCCTACTTTCCTTTCCCTCCTATATCAAGCTTCTGGAGAGCTTCGCTGGCTAGAAGATCGTGCTTGGTAACGGCCGTACGTATTAAGCGAGGCCACAGGTCCATGTGGACGTATACTGCAAGCACAGGCACCTATCACCTATACTCATTGTACTTCAAGTATGGTTCACAAAGCGAGGCAAGGATCAGGTTTCTGCGGCCTCCATCCTGCCCGGGTCCGAAAACCCTACTTGTGCCCCCAAATGGTCTTTATAACAATGATTGCACCATATCATGTATATCATTTGGCTGCTGACTCACCAAGTCAATCTGGTGAAAATCAGCTTCTGGTATCCTAAGCTCTGCTGATCTTTAGGACTGAGCTTCACCAACCAATGCCTTTGGTCGTCTCTTGTTGCTGCATCCAAGGCTCTGCCGGTTGCACCTGTGGCGTTGCCAGCCTTCCAGGTCGAGTTCGCCTTGGAATCCATGGCGCCCTACAGGGGCTGATGACAATGACCCACGAGCGGTATAGAGGGTAGGAACCATAAACTGGCATGCACGGAGACACAGAACAAGGCAACTGTGCAAAAAGGACCTGGGTTCTAAATGCTGCGGCCTGCTGCACGCTGCACTTTGTTTTGAAGCTTGAGCGTTGGTGGCTTCCAACCCTCAAGCATCCTCAATCCAACTCGCCCAGAGCACAGGCCTCCGAATTCTGTGTTCTGGGTGGACTGGTGTTGTGGCCGCAGATATCACAGCGCCAACGGCACTCAGTAACACCCTCCCGCAATGCCCACTTTAGAGGCTCTAGAGATCAGGGGGTCACCCTTTGGAATGTCAGTGGCACTCAGCGTTTGATGAATCCGTCTACAGTCTTATGGGCCTCGACTCTCCTCACAATCCCTCACCACATTTGTCGTTACTTGGACGGGAGGCTGACGCGAGGGAGACCTTCGGCGGTTGGACCGAAACCGGTGTCTCCAGCGGTTCGACCTCCGCATCCGAGTCATCGTCATCGTCATCGTCTCCTGGGGAAACGCTGGAAACACTGGCTCATGAAGCAGGGTGCAGGTTGAGAAGCGACAACGAACAAGCAAATATGTTTACCTTTGCATATGTGTTTCCGACGAAAGTCATACTTGTTGTTGCCTACAGTTTATACTTTAGCAAGACCCCCGCGATAGTTTTACTTGACTTTGCACATGCCTTTACTTAAGCAGGACCCCAGCAAAGTTATCCAAGCAAGATCCCAGCACCAAAGCAACTCACCAGAGCAAGATCCCAGCACCAAAGCAATGCTAGCGTAGCAGCAGCTTTACACAACCATACCTGCGAGCTGCAGATGTACTTGTAGCATACCGCATACCTATTGTAACATACATACAACTGCAGCTATAAGTTGCAAATGTATTGCCACCTCCGTAGCAGCAGGTCTAGAAGACCACACATGCAAGCTGCAGATGTACTTATAGCATACACGCAAACTGCTGCTATATAAGTCCCAGATGTATTGATACAAATGTTTTGTGCAAAAGATGTCTACAGAAACCCCTCGCAAACGCTCCCGGGAATAAACCTATCAAGAACCAAATGAGGAAAACAAATTGACATAATTAGCATGCCCACCTTGTCTTCCCACATTGGCTTCGATCCCCTTGGTCACTGTCTCAGTGCTCGCCTGGGGAGGGAAAGTCACAGCATCAGTCAAAGAAAAGAACCCGGCTTCCTCTGGGAGCTCTGGGATGGTCCTACGAACTTCTGTCTCTGTAGAGCTGAGCATTTGCACAGTCTGGTGGCGCCCTCTGTGCAAAGCACACACAGCAATGCACGGCAACATCAAAATCCTCAAAAGCCTACCAGCCTGCCACTAATCACTGGATAATTTAGGGCCACATTTGATCAGTCATGGAATTGGCTTTGCAGGAACCGAAGCCCCATGTTGATTGTCAACCCTGGTCAGGCATGACGCAATTGAAGTCCTCATGCCTCACAACTTCCACTTCTTCCACCGAAAGCTGCATTTTCACGGTTCGATGGCTCCATCATGCGTTTACCCAAGGCAAGCATGGCACGAAGCAGGAAACGGCTGTCCATAAACCTCGAAAAGAAAGAGATACAGTAATGTCGTCGCCATGCGATAGAGGGGGGCATGGTCCAGCGTTCTTTCAGAGTATAACAAATCCAGCAACGTGATTGACGCAAGTCTTGTATCATATGTTACCCCACGCACACAAGCACCGCAAATCATGAAGTGCAAGCAAAGCTGCTGCTCATTTCTCAAATCCTTTAACTTTCGTCCTTCTCCGCCCCTGAACGACATCCCTTGATGACCTCCATAGGACTTTCAATTCATCTCACCATGTCCAACCCATCTTGGTTTTGAGGAGTCACTGCTAGCTGTGCCAGTGATACCTGCGGCGGAAATGGCGTCGTCTCCCAAGACGCGTCCACATCCAGCAGGTCCTCATTTGCATCTCCTGCCACTTCAACTTCGGGAAAGGGTTGATGTTTTTGGTGACCCCTGGCCGTTATGGACGGCATGGCATCCACTAGCCCATCGACAAGACGAGCACTTTAGTCACTTGAGTTGAAGTATTATTTCAAAGTAAAGCCCTAACACGTTTGGGGTCAACACTTGATATCCGTTCATGAGGGGAAGGAGAAGCAACAGCATGCAATGCAAGAGTTGCCATAGGTTGCATTGAACTGTACAAGTCAAACACGGGAAGAGATTCCCACAGGTCCAGCATCATCATCGTCGTCAGCTGCCAGTTCCGCGATCTGAGCATCTCTGCTGATGGCCAGGGCCTAGACTCTAGACCAATCGGTGATTATGGGAAATGAGGGGTGCAGCAGATAGGCTGATAGGCGGGATAGTACGAACATGTAAGAACTGACCTGGTGAGTCGTTGATCTGCTTGATCTACAAACATCTATCGTGGTTGGGGACCGATTTCTCGGCTGCTGGAGACACATCTTGCCACTGTAGGTTCCCTGAACGCTGACTGGCCGATTTCAAGATGCTCACTGATTAACCAGTGACGGGGGGCACTAAAACCTTGTGATTTGCATCAAGTGATGCTAAAAAGCCGCCGACCCATGTTGAGCTATGCAGTCACAGCGGATGACAGGTCTACCGCCTCCCCACCTGACCCAGCGTCAGCCATGCGAGCAGAAGCTTCTTCATTGCTGGCCCTTTTTGGCCTTGAGCCAATGGGCCTGGGCATTCCTCCCGTGTTCTGTGACGAGCAATCGGAAAGGGCCACGCATCCTTCCATGGGATCTCTTGATTGAGCTTGTGTTCAATGTGTTCAATGTGTTATAATGTGTTCGCACAAGTCGATCAGTAGGTATTCCGTATTCCAGTTGATTTCCAGTAGCCCGGAAGTGGAACCAGAACATGGGAGCCCTTTCAGCGCCGGAACGGCGCACAAAACCGCCTGGCTCAGCGCCAATCAGCTCAGCACACTGCCTGCGTCAATGGCGGCCGTAGCGGAGACACCAGAGACGTTGACCGAAACCGGGCAACCGCGGATGTTTAAATAGTGTAGTCTCTTACTTTGTCGAAAAAACATCTAAAAACCCATATGAAAAGGTTGTTCAATCCAAATCCAAATCGGGCAGTTTTATAATGTATAATATATAACTATGTATAACTAAACATAGTTATTTAATGATGAATTTACCTTCGGAACGTGGACTTCCAAGATTCTATCTGGAATAGGTGGTGCGTCCATCATTCTACAACCCTTGTTGACAACACACAGCCCTCAATTGTATACTGGAGATCCTCCCCCAACCTCCGAAGGTTTGTTCGTTCATGATCATGTGTCAAGGGAGAGGTTGACCCCAGCAAGCGACAACATAGGCCCTGACAATAAGACCCTGAAAGAAACTCGAGGTTTTGTGGTTCGATATTAGTCAAACACCGCATGTGAGGTTCCACGACTTGCTTCTGCACCCGGTTTGGTGGTAAAAACGAACACTTTGCCACCCCTCGTTTCAATAAAAGGTTCTATACACCTAGTTACTGGCACTAGAACTTCTTGCTAGACACAAGTCACCAAGAGTTTTGAGAAAGTATGTCAGTGTACAATGCCCTCACGATGTCTTCCAAATTCTCTGCGAGCGCACGCGACAACACACGCGGGGGTGACAAAAAATCTGACTGGCCTAACAGCTGTCTACACAAAAAAAAAAGTAATTAGAAAAACGTGGGCATGCTGGACTACGATCCTCCTATCCATCAAATTCCCAAGAAGTAATTTCAGTGTCATTTCGCCGTGCTTAATTTGCTCCACGTTGAGGAGGTGATTGCCAAAGTTTACATCATCAGTTTACATCTTGACAACTAGCGTGACATGTTAAACAAAACTACCCAAAGCAATTAAACCAAAGATTCTGCAACTGTGTTTTGTCTCAGCTCAGTCATGTCTTTGTCTCATCTCAGATTCTGAGATTTAGAGAGCTTCAGGTTTTCTGGTATGGTTTGGTTCAGTTATAAGGCTGTTCTACACCAAACCGAGTGTGGTGTAGCGCGCCCTTCGGTCCCAACCACACTAAAAAAGCCTCCGTGCGGTTTCGATGGCCTTCTTGGCCTGTGCGGGGCCGACCTGAGACCTCGGCCTCTGGTGACTCACAACGCCGGTTTCGGGACTATAACGAAGGGACTGCAGTTGTAGGAAAGTGGTGCAGGGGAGACTCGAAAGGAGGCAAGACGATCGTCCACCGGGCCGATCCATCGATCCATGCAGAAAAAAAACAAACATTGAGCGATCGTCTCCTATAATAATAAGATATAATAAGCCAACGACGGTTCCAACGACCGGCAGCAGGAATCCCTAAAGGCTCCCACACCCCGTCTTTGATTGGACCGGACCCGTGAAATTAAACTGATCAACTGTGGGGGCTTGAACTACTCCAAAACCGGCAAAACCTACTAGGAGCAAGGACGCTACTAGGAACAAAGGGCATCGCTACTAGGAGCAAGGATGCTACTAGGGTTAGTTCTTGAAAAGAAGGCTCAGCCGCTCCCTGTATCCGACGACGACAGATGTTCTTGCCATGTTCTGCCGACGAAAAAAAGATGCACCTGCACGCCGTAGTAGTGCGAGGACGAAGGGTTGCCCCAATGCTGGCTCCTCAGTCACGAAGCTCCAAAGAAGCCTAGCTCAGTCGCTTGAGATCAACAACCCTTGAGTTCAGAAAACACAGGAAACCGTTTCCGTACCTCACCTCCGAAAGAAGCAAGAACTTGACAATAGGCCCCTGCATCATGGAAATGAGTGTGTCCATGATTGAAGGCTTCTATGTCTATGTAATATGATTCCCCTTGATTGTAACTTTTTCTGCTGCAAGTTGTATAGTTCACAAAAAGATCGGTGTCTATAAAAATGAACTATAAGGTTTTGTGTTATAAAATGACGAACCCGCACATATAGCATGACCGGGTCAGGATCCTACAATATGTGGCGTGATTGAATGGCACATATTTTCATAAAATGAAAACACCAAAGGACCAAGGGATGAGAAAAATGTACTTAATATATATATATATATATGTGTGTGTATATATATTGTATTATATATACAGATCTGATCAAGAAACCCGTATTGTCTATAAACGGAAGTGCTCAGGATTGGCCCGCGCTCAGATTCAAACGCTCAGATTCAGAGTCGAATCTTACCCTATTGCACGGCAGAATGCACATCTTCATTGTGTGTGGTGAGCGTGTCTAGCATAAATTGTTGTATCATGTAAGCTGCCAAACTATTTTTAACAAAATGAGCTTATCATAGCTTATGAGTGCATTCCTCAATTCAGTTGATTCTCTATAAATTGGCCTATCCAAGATCAGCCTTGAATTCTGCTCAGGCGCAAAGTCTTTTGTCCGCCAGATGTTTTTGCAATTTGATGTGGTCAGCATTGAGCGGCTAGATCTGACTAACATATTTGTTCAATATAGATTGAACATGCCATAGTTATGCTGAATTATCATCTGAAAATCCCAAAATACGGCCTTGTAACATGACCACCCTGTTTGGTGAGCTCACAAATGCAAAACATACTCATTTCATAAGGCTAGAATCAAGGGGATGTAATATGTTAGGTTCTGACAGCTTTTTGAGGTTGACAACCAGCTTTGGACATCCAAACATGGACGGCAAAATGTGATGGAATGTGTCGGACAGTGCAGGCTATTGACCAGAACAAATTATGATCCCACGACTGGCATTATCTCATCTTGGCTCAAGTTCCCGGCATCATCAGCGACATGGCGCGACATACTTCAGGGTCAATGGGTGTCGTGCCTCAGTCAAAGGAGGATGCTTCCATGAACAAACAGCTCCAAACGGCATTCTGGTTCCAACTCCCCGGGCCCCTAAGTGAGTGGCCGTAGATGTGCAGGCGGGCTGACTCTGACAACAAAGATTCACAAAAAATAGGATGAGATAGGATATCTACCTCATGTTCAAGCGTGATCACATCCAGGATCCCCAGCCATTGTAGTCTAAATAAATCGGCGCCTTCCCCGACCTCGTTGCAGGACTTTTTCACAATTGCTCCGTTTCAACGGTACAAAACCGTAAGCCTTTGATCCAAGTCCGCGGCGGTGCCATGGTCAAGGACGGGATGTTCGCTCTGTCTGCAAAAAACTCTGATTATATAGACCCCCAAATAGATACTGTAGAAGGGTAGATCCCCACTAAAAATGTATTGGAAACCGTTTGTATCTAAGTCTATATCTCTAAATCACTATAAAGTCCACTCAAGGCGTGGGAAAAAGAAGAGTAAAGAGTGGTGCTTGCGCTGTGATTTCGGAAAGGACTTGTGACTGACCCATGCACCCATATACCCCAAGTTCTGTGCTGTGTTTGATGCAGGTCTTGCTTTTAATCTTGGTCTGTGTAACAGGCGCAAAGTCGAAGGGCCCACAGTAGCCAGCCAGCATAAGAATCCTGCAGAAGTCAAGTGCGTCATGGCAGCCATAGTAGCAGCAAAAGACGTCATCTGTGAGCCCAAACCAGCACATTCCACCTGGAGTTGTGCGCGCATATCCACGCACAAACACTGCCACTTGCAACGAACACAAGCCAAAAAGCACATCCTTCTGGGCAATTCTCATTGACAGTCAAACCACACTGCAAATGGCCAACAACGCTGCAGTGAACACTGGCGTAAAAACAGGCTTGCGTCTCTCAACCTACGAACTTCCCAATAGGTTTACATCTGCTTTCAACCATCAAATAGTACACGAACAATCTGAATCTTTTTGGCGCATCATCGCTGGTCAGCCATTCACAGCTCCTTCTTCGATCCCTGGCAAGGTCAACATTCACGGTCGGGTCAGCCGTCTTCCAGATCAATCCACAAAATATGACTGGTTGGTGTTTTCAGCCCACTTGAAAAATTTAGTCAAAGGGTCCAATCATGCCCAAGTAAGGGTTGAAAATCAAATATGTATCCGAAACCATCACCTAGATGAGTTCTTGACGGTAAATGGCGCGGTTGGTCAGCTATAAATACGGATCCTCGACTAGCAGCTTCGCAGACTGACTAGGACCGAGAAGCAGCAAACAAACTGACCCATCTACAAGCGGGTCATTGAACTGCAGCTGACTGCAGCTGAGATCGGCTGAGCCTTGCCCTTCTTCTTTGGGGCTGGCTTCGAAGCTGGCTTCGAACCTGGGCAGCAAGCGACTTTGTGTCCGCACGTGTAGGCGGCTGCTTCTGGCTCCTTGACGTGAATCTGAGTATAGCAGTAGAAACATCTATTCCAACAATGTTCGACAGGACATGTCTTGAGCACTTCAGTGATTACTTCACTTCAGGTGGTGGTTATCAGGTCCATTCAGGTCTTGTCTGTGGACATGTCAGGAGATTCGTTTGGGCTCAGCCTCTGTGCCCCATGCAGGTGGCTTCTTAGCGGGTAAAAGCCACCAGAAAACAAGAGTTTGCTGCAAAAGTTCATACCTAACCTCACAATGGAAAAAAATACCGTTATATACATAAAAACATCCACATCACCCGGATCAACCAGAGCAAGTAGGGCCCAGTAGGGCCCAGTCCAACTTAATACAACCCAGCTCACCTGGGTCATGGCATGTTCATCGACTGTTCATGACCTGCCCACCCTGAGATCCCAGCTGGTCTCGCTGGCCTCAGCATTGGGAGGTCATGGGGGTTCCGAGAGCATTCCATGGCGATAATATGCTATAATGGCCAAGTCCCAAAACCACCAGAGTTTGGAAGATGTGCCCTTACACCACCAGTGTTGCGTCTACATTCAAGCTTGTGTCCATACGATCCATACGTAAATGGTCCTTCATGTTCCTTCAAAATGGACTGACCCTGGCTAAGCGTCCCCCTTTCAGATCCTTTTCACCAAAGCAGTACCTTAGGATGCCTTTCAAAATCTTCATGACCGAGGCGGATGACTCAGCTCTCAGCCTTGGGCTTCCTGGATGAGGCACATTTGGCACTCGTCCGGCAAGCCTGGCGGCTGGCATTCGCGCGCCCCGGCCAGACCAAAGAAAAACCAACCACAAGGAAGACTTGTTCCGTCTTTCCGTTGGGTCCGGGTATGCCATTTGCTCATCACGCTACGAAACAGCCAATGAGCTTTTCAAGATCTTGAGGCCCTCTACACTCATAGCCGCTCTAGCCCATAGACAAATTAAATCACCACCCACCAACCAGGATTCCATCTTCACTCCTTCTCAACTCGGTTCTGGACCCGTCGCGGGCCCGTCGCCCCCCCATCCAGGCCTCCTCCGCCACCTCTGTGAGATTGACGTCGCGGACTCCACGGAGGCGCTCAGCCTCGGTCCCGAGAATGGGCTCCATTGGTATTATCATCGGTCTCCGAGTCATCCCTCATCTTTCTAGTCTAGAGATTCTGGGCTTCAGTCACAAGGCTAAATACAGGCTAGATAGATACATAGATAGATAGATAGATAGATAGATTCATGTGCTTGTCGGAGTGAAACTTTTAAATCAGGGTGGGCGATGGTGGGTGAAAGGAAACTAAGCACAGTTCCAGACTCTAGGGCGCAGATGATCAGGGGTGTTCTTGTCCTGATGTCGCTGGGGATTGATTTTGGTGACCCAACAATCCCGTACAACAAACTGATCTTGGAAACCAGCCATCCCCAATAAACCCCTTGCACCTCTCCACAGACCTATGCAAGGTCTCCTGGCCAATGCTTCGGCCAAAACGTCTGCGTGGTATGCGATGCTTTGCTCGCAAGCCTTGGCAAAGCTTCGCGGCGCTTTTTGGATTGAATGGAACGAGCTCCGCCTTGCGCTTTCTGCGCTTCCTCACGCCATCTGGGGCCGTGCGGTTTTCTGGGTCCACTAAATGCAGTACCGTCAGCGCTCGGGCAGGAGAAGCATTGAAGAATAAACCTATCAGATCTCTCTTAACATTGCTAAACTAATGCCACCTGGGGGGAAGCTCCCCAACCGTACAACCTTAGTAGGCCCTTCAGTTTCCCAAGGCGAGGGAGAAAGCCGGCGAAAGCCCATCAGCTCAAGACAAGACACATAGAAAACGCCCTCCTTCCACACCTGCCAAGCTAAAGACGCAGAAATCCAAAGCTTTCACCCCGCTGACCAACCTTCTTCTTCCCTCACATTGCTTGGTGTCATGGAGAGTGATGGATATTGCAAAAGCCTCCCATTCTTGCAAAGCAAACAGGAACGCGAGACGTCTCCGCAGAATGAAGATGTGCGGGAAGAAGTGAGTTGCTACAAACCCGCCACCGCGGCAGGTGAACATCCCCCTGCACCGCTCTGCTCGCAGGTCGTGCCTCGTAGGTGTCCACTGACTGCTTGCTGGGCTTCTCAGTGTTTTGCCAAAGGCCTCAGGGTGAGACATCGTCTGTGAAGTGTTGGGTACAAAAAAATGTACGAGCTACAGGCATAGACGATTGAACAACATTGAACAACCAAGTGTGCCCCTTGCGCACATGGCCAAAGGCTAAACCTGGAGTGCCGTATTTACGTATTTGCATGACCTTTCTTGACTACAGCCCTAGCAGCTTTTGAGAAAACACTACAGCAGGTTGAGAGCAGACAGCACACGTTGGATTGCTTAAAGGGATCCGGTTTGCCTACATACCCAACAATCACGCTACAACACTGCGTCTGCACCATCTGCTAGAGAAGCCTGTTGCAAGTCACCTGAAGCTCACGATTTGAGAAAATGCTCAGGAAGATGCGTTTTCAAGGCTCTGGGCTGCTAGCGATTCTTAGAGCTCGGAACGGTCCACGGTCCACTGAACGATCTCCAGCCGAGTCGAACGACTCGATGCTGTGCTGCTTGGCCCAGGCACAAGGAGAAGTGTCGTTCTTGATCTCGGGTGCCACCTCACCCGTTCTGACCAAAACAAACAACATGTGCGTGCATCGTGGCCTCAGTCTTGATGTCGAGTTCTTGACACAAAAAAGCATACAAACCGTCACTGGGCGTTTGAACCAGAAAACTGTTCACGGGGTATGTCATAGATAAGACATTTGAGGGCCTTGGCCAGTGGTTCCGGGAACCGTGATTTGGTGCGGGGTGTTGGTCCAAGGGTTTTTGAAGGACATCTGTCAAGCATTGTTAAGCTACGGGGTGGGAGAAATGCTTATATATGTTCATTGAATTCGCGTGTTGGGGGAGGTTTCAAACATGTGGAAAGGATGTGGTGGACCACTGGCCCTGCTGAATAGCACTAGTCACTACCTGGTCACTACACACATGCCAAGCAAAGTGGTTGCCGATGGCTTCTTGGGTCAACCACATGGCGGTCCAAGGCCACCAAGACTGGCAGTGTTACCCGAAACGTGTGAACCACTTTGTGCCGACCGAACTTCAAACAAGGCGATCCAAAGCTGGCCACGGCCTGGCCCGCCCGGCCTCCTTGCACGGTCTTAGCATGAAGCCTTCGGCCACCAAGTCATCCTGTCGACCACCGGTCATGCATGGTGCGCTTCGATGGCACGAGTTTTTAAAGTCCGCTCTGCCCTCCAACCTAATAGCGATGGCCTTCAACCCTAATAACGATGGCCTCCAACCTAGTAGCGATGGCCTCCAACCTAATAACGATGGCCTCCAACCCAATAGCGATGGCCTTCAACCTAATCTCGATGGCCTCCAACCTAGTAGCGATGGCCTCCAACCTAATAGCGATGGCCTCCGACCTAATAGCGATGGCCTCCCTAGAAGCGATGCAATCCCTAGAAGCGATGCAATCCCTGAAAGCATCTGAAAGCTAGATATGCTAGATGGAGTATGGATATCCGATGCCAGAAGCCAAATTGTGCTGATGGAACCTGTGTGTAATGCAGTCGTTGAAGAGTACAAAACGAAAACCTTACACGAAGAAGCCAATCGGTCAATCGGAAAGCAGTGCATGGTTCCAATGTGGCTCCGGAGCCAGGACCTCTCCGCTGCGGAGTCCTTGAAATGCTTGTTGCAGCCTTTCTTGTGCTTCAACATTTGGTCCTCCGGCTCCAACTGTGGACATTCTAGGGCAGCATCAGATTCAATGCCAATCATGCCACGTGATTCAGTGATGCATAGAGGCAAAAAAACAACTACTTATTAATAAACAATAATCAATAATAACACAAAAATCACAAATGACCTTTGCAGAATACGTGTAGCCTGTGGCTTGACAG